ACCCTTAACCTTAAACCCTAAACCTTTCAGTAGCCGTCGGCCCGAACCCTGCGTGAAGCCAGCCTTGCCGATCATGGTGGAGGCGATTTCTCAAACAACTTGGGCCAAAAGCACTGGGAAAAGCGCGCCTGGTACTGTAGGGGCCTTACGTAAGAGAAAGAATAGGTTTTTTTTTTTTTTTTTGGGGGGGGGGGTTCCTTACTGTAATTAAGTCACGAAGGCCGGTTTGAATTTGAAGTAGGTTTTTACTGCTAGTACTTGTCAGTCGGACGTTGGGTCATCAGCACCGAAAGTGAGACAGAAAGAACAGACAGGTGCTGGTACATTCACTGGAAGTGGGCCATGATCTTGTCTGACGCTCTACAATTGCCATCAACAGAGGAAAGCCACTCATTGAATGTGGCTTCAGTAATGTCTTGGCAGACGAGCAGCCAGTCTTTGAGTTCTGCGGCTCAGAAGAGAAATGATGCCCTTGAAAACAGCCAGCAATAATCTCAAGGAGCCCTAGAAATCCCCACCAAATCCCGAATACAGAGCTCACCTGATGTCTGAAATCATAGGGCCCACACGCCCTTCAAGAAGGCCAACAGTCCGAAGCACAGAATCGCCATGCCTCAACCGTGAATTCCATAAGCCCGACTTGCAAAGTTCCTGCTTCTACCTATCGTATCCTTTAAGGGAGAGCGGGTGTGCGGGGTGTAGATTCGGCCCTAAGGCTCCCTGAAGGTTTTTGAAGGATCCCTGGTATACCCTCCGCCCTTGAACCACCCTCCTGGATCCTATAATTCACACCCTGGAGCTTTGCTTCACTGACTAGGAACTCTGTGAAGAAACCATGGCAACCCTAAAAACGATAGGCTTTTTGGCCATGTGTTGCTTGGAGGCTCTGGCTCGCAGTTCATACCGGCAGCGAATCAATGCCAACAAGACGAAGATATCGGTGACCCCCTCGTGGTTGGCGAGCTCGGAACAGCTCTTCTGTTCAAAACTGGCCCGATTCGAAGACATCTCGAGCTCGTGGTGCAGGTGCCTTCTTGCACTCTGCAAGCAGCGATTAGAGGACACCGGTCGGTGCAGGGGGAGCTGCCTCACCCTCGAAGATATTGCCGGAGGACCCCCTAAAACCGGAACCCCTCCCAACTCAAAAGCGCTGCAAGGGGCGCATCCTCTCGCGGAGGGAGCGCTCTCAAAGGAGCTCTCAAAAGCCCGAGAGCTCGAATCCTGCAGCCCTCCGACAGGAAACGCCCAATACTGTTCTGCAAGCACTCAGAAGCGATGCCGGGGCCACGGAAACCCGTGGGAACCGGCAGAAAGCACAGTGCGCCCCGAACTCTTCAGCCGGAGTTCGCTTTCCAAGGCTTCAGAGGACGAGTCTGAAGACCCAGGATTACCCCACGAGCACCCTTTGACCAGGGGCACCCGCACCCCAGAAGCACCTTAGAAATGAGGCTCTAGAGACCCCAAAAGGGCTTTGGGAAGCCGGTTTTGGGGCTCCTTAGTGCACCTCGGAAGGCTTCCGCAACTCCTCGGAAGAGGACTAAGGCCGCTCAACCTGCGGAAAGGCCTCTCTGCTTGTCAGGCCCCGTCCTCGACTCCCAAGCGCCGGAAGCCCCGATCCCCAAAGCCGGAACAGGGCCCTAAACTCGGAAGCCTACATCTCGCCAGGATGGGAGGCACGGCCGAAAGACGCCGAGGCGCTTTCCGAAAGGCCAGCAGGAAAGGAAGGAAGGGCCATCTTGAGACTCGGCCAGGCTGCAACGCGCTTGGACACGGCTTAGGGTTTCGGGTTTAGGGGGTTTTAGGGCTTCGGGGTTTTAGGGCTGTGTCCGAGCCCTTGGATCTTGGTTCCCGTGACGAGGAGGCCTGAAGCTGCTTTTGAGACGCGGGGAGAAGGGCCACATCAGAACTCAAACAGCTTATGAGGGGACTGAGCCTACGCCGATGCGCGGCGGCCACATGCCGGATGCAAGCAGACCAAGTCGAGCCTACAGCAAAGCCCAAGATGCCCTTCCAAACCGCCTGAAAGGCATGCGACTCTCCTTTGGAATGCAACACTGCGGCCTGCTAAGCTTTGATAGAGCCTTCATCTTCTGAAAAAGATTCAACCTGCCCTGGGGCTGCGGAAATAGCTGGCAGTGGGCCTTTCATTCACCTCTGCACCTCTTGGCATTGCAGCCACCCTAACAGCCCGAAGCCCTAAAGCCTGGGATCCTGAACCCCTAAAAAGGCCCTAAAGGCCTTCAATCCGGTTTGGAGTTTTGGGTTTAGGGTTCAGAAGGCCTTATTAAAGGCCCCTAACGTCTAGGACCCTAAACTTAAACCCGAAACCGTGCGCGCCGTGGCCTCAGAGCCCCCGGCAATGCGGGAGTTTGCTTGGGACTCAGTGCCCTAAGCCCTGAAGCGCCTAAACCTCACTCTCTGATTTCTGCACTCTATCGAGCAGCACAGACGAGGCATGGGGCTTTTAGGGCTTCTTGCCGCGGCTCGAACTTCCGGTAGAAAACGAAGCCAGCTGTTCGACTTCTGGCTTTCAAACGCCTCGAGTTCGGTCGAAGCCTGTTGCTTCTTAATGGCTTCTTCAAGTGAGGCCCTAAGTTTAATGCCTCAGACAAAAAGGTTTTGAAGCACTGGAGCAGCTCAACCGACCTAGTATGACAAGGAGCAGGTCGCCGAGTGTATCTTCAGGTGAAAGGTCTCGCTGTCACTGCAAGGCCCACAAATGTTTCTTGGATCCAACTCAGAGGAGTTTCTTACAGACAGGGATCTCTGTTGAAGGGGTAGGATGCGAATCCTGCTTTTTTGGCACCTGTTCTTAGAGCTTCTTACTTCAGAACCTCGAAGGTATGTTTTCGGGCTTGCAGGCAAGGACTACATGCCTTTAGGCTCTGGGGTGTGGCGGCAGAAGGCCTTCGCAGCCAGAGCCCCTGCCTTGGCTGCAGCCTTCGGCTCAAGGAAAAGGATTCGAAGCTCGGAAGGCAGAGAGAGATCATCGCATGCCCCCTCCGCAGGATTCTGACTGCGCCGAGGCTAACCGGCCCCACTCTCATGCAGAAGACTCCATGCGCAGCTTCGGTGGCTGATAGGGATTCCAAGCGCCCAAGGCGATACCAGCGGCCCAACTCCGAGCAAAGATCTGCCAGAGCCCCTCGGGCACGAAGCGCGGCCGAGATGCACCACAAACATCACTCCCACTACCAGATCTCCTCTTCTCCTCACCACATGCAAAGGCACGGACGGCAATGGCAGGCTTATACGCCTTGCATCGCTGATGCTTCTGCCAGGGCAGGGCCAACCATTGAGGCCTCTTCCAGAGCTCCGACCGGTAGCACAACCTACGGATCCTCCGCCGCTTTCCCTCCAAGCCGACAGATCCGGAGCGCCTCTTCATGAGCAGGACAACGTCCCAGGTCTCGGTCTGGGAAGTTGAAAGCTCATGTCGGGTGCTTCAACTCCGACTTCACAAGGAGCGGAAGTGACGGTCTGTTAAGGAGCGACCAGAGGTGGAGCCTCGATGCGCACCCGAGATTCTAAAGGCCAAGAAGGCCACTTCTTCCAGCTCCTCTTAGGACCAGGCTTCCACTGCAGTGTCCTCACATGAAAAAGGCTTACAACAAGGCAAGGCCTGGCTCCGAAGCACTGGGCCAAGGCTTTCAGATCGTCCCTACGTGGAATGCAGGCAGGAGCTGGGGCAAGGGGAAGAGTCTCGAAGGGAGTTTAGGCTTTCTTGGGGCTCGGGCGAAATTTCACGGGTTCAGCTCACGGGCTCAAAGACAATGAGCAAGCATGCCACAAGATGAAGCTGTATAGTCTAGGGCTTATGAGCGCTCGGGATGCTGAGAAGCAGATCTCCTGCAGGTGACAGTTGCAGGCCTTGCGACAAGGCCGAAGCATCCTCGAAGCCACAGTCCCCAAGAGCCGGAAGACCTCCGAATCCGGAGCAAACGTCTCCTTCCCCACTGCATGGAAGTTGGAGGCTTTCATGAGTCAAGCAGGCACGCAATTCCTACCCCCTTCTAAACTCTAAGCCCGAAACCCTTCGAGAGCCGCTGGGAGCGCGGGGGAGGGAAGGCCCAAACAGCCCTCCTGGTGTGGAGAGAATCTACAGCTGCAGAGCTGCAATGGCTAAGCATCCCCGTGCCGACGCAGCTTCAGGGTTAAGGGTTCATGGCGGTCTTAGGGTCTTAGGGGTTAGGGTTTGGGGGATGAGAGCGGAGGGAGACGAGAGATCTTGGAAGATCTGCAGCTCCGTAAACAGACAAGCCCCGGCGCAGAAGCCGCAAGTGTGCTGAACCCGTCTTTGCACGTGGAGGGAGACGCCTCAGAGGACATCTCCCCGATGCACCACAACTTTCAGATACTTTCCAGCCATGCACATACAACACAGGAGGAGGCCCAGGCCCATAGTGCAATCGATGGAACATCTGAGCACAGCGTTTTTCGCGACTCGGAACCTTATTTCTTCTGCAGCTACCAGCGGCGGCTCCTGTCTGTCACGGAGCGAACTCTGCCAGCCCTGCCAGTTCGTGTCAGAGGGCTCCGGGCTGTCCAGACGATGCCAACGATCTGGCGCAACCGTTTCTACAGCCAAGTCCACAAGACGGGGGCTAAACTCACGCGGAGCACAAATCCTCCTCAAAAGAAGGTAGGGCCCAGACCCCGATCTGTGAAGACCCTGCCAAAGGCCAACCAAAAGCCAAAGTTTCCCCTGCGCAGCGCACCGCTCACAGACTAGGCTGGTCTGGCTACACGGCAGTCCTCGCGGCTCCGGTCTTACGGCGGGCTGTTCAGAGTAGAAGGCGGATCCCATGCCCGAAGACTCTGAGGCCGAGCTCCCCCGATAGCATGGCAGTCCGGATTTGCTCGTCATTTCCACATCCTCACGGACCTCGGGGGTGTGAAGTTGAAGCGGTTGAGGCTTTATGATTTTAGGGTTTAGGCTTCAGGCTTTAGGATTTTAGGATGTGTAGGGTTTAGGGTTTAGGTTTTAGGGGTAGGTTTTCATTTTCGCTCTGGACTGCGGACCACACGGCGAGTGAGTGAGTGAGTGAGTGATGTGTAGGGTTCAGGCTTTAGGATTTTAGGGTTTAGGCTTTAGGATTTCGGGTTTAGGGTTTAGGCTTTAGGATTTTAGGGTGTAGGGTTTATTCCTGAGCTCTTGAGCGATCGACATTGATGTACTTCTTCTGTGTCCTCCTGTATAGAAGCTAAGCTTCAAGATGTAGGGAGGTTTCCCCTAAACCCTAAACCCTGAACCCTAAACCCTAAACCGCGCTTCCAGGTTGGCTAAAGCGTGCGCGGTCATGGTAAGAGAATGTTCAAAGAACTTAGCCCCCTGCCCGAAACCCTTGTCAACCCTCCTAAAGCATGACAAAACCTAGGAAAGCCCTGGATAAGGCCGTGTAGTAGAACTGAACCCGAAACCCCAACCCTTAAAACCTTAGATCAAGAACGCTGAACCCTAAACCCTAAGCCTTAAATCAAGAACCCCAAACCCTGAGCCGATAAGGGAGTTTCCGAAAATAAGGGGTCCCTCATTTTGGGGTCTTTTTTAACAAGGGTCCTACTATTTAGGATACTATATTAGGGTCCCCTATTTTCTGTAACCCCCATAAGGGTTCAGATGGAGGGACTTCCAGGCATTGCAACATCGGATCAGGGTTCGACACATCTCGCGTTGGAAGTACTCGGATTGTTCTGAGGAGAGGGGGTGGGGTTTAGGGTGTAGGGTTTAGGGTTTAACATATTGGGTTCAGGGTTTAGGGTTCAACATCGTGGCCCTAATGATCGTCTAATTATGAAGGCCCCTACACTAGCTTGAATTTGGGGTGTTTTGTTGGAATTCGAGGTTGTCTTTGACACTTAAACCGGACCTCGGGTCCTTAAGTCAGAAGCGCTCGGACCCTTTAGAGTTCAGGGTTTAGGGTTCAGGGTTTAGGGTTTAGGGCGTTTCATCTAGACATTCGGGGCGGACTGCTGAGGAAGACGCAGAAGCAGTGAGCGGCAGAAGATCGAACCGCCTCTTTTTGGAGCTTAGGCTTGGAGGATTTCTCTGATAAGCCCGACCAGTGACACTTACCGGTGACCAGTGCGATGTCACGACCCTATGTAATAATTATCAGAGTTGTGCAATAATCATGCTCATAATAATTATGACATCAACAGCCATAGTAATAATACTAATACAATCATAGATCATCATAGTCATAATCATCATGACGATTGTACTTAGAGGGGGCTCGAGCTTCAGGAGAGCATCAGGGGCATAGGTTTCATGCAGGACCTTATGTCGAGTCTATCCGGGCTTCAATGAAGACTTGTGACCTTGTACTTGCAGTCATGTCAAGCCGCGTCGGCTTCAGTTTTCCGTTGAGAGCAGACCGGAGGTTCTCAGCATACACTGGAGAAGACCATCCGGTAAAGGCCCTAATACAGGGGCCTCAATAATTAGAATAGGGCTTTGGGGTCTAGTGTGATTCGCACTGTACTAAGAGGCCCCATGAGGCCCTAAGTCAAGTAAAACTGTGGGAAGCTCCTGGTCTGTTTGGGCAGAGGCAGGAACAAATCGGCTCAAGCCGTACTGCTTGCTGAAGGTGAAGGAAGGGTTTCAGGCTTCACGTTTTTAAGTTACTAAGGTTTGGGGCTCAATTTGGGGTTGCGGGCTTAGGCATAAGATTGTGGGTTACGTTCCCGTGGACGCAGGTAGACCTCCTGCGATCAGGTTGAGTTCAGCCTAAGCCCTATACCGCCCTATACCCTGACAAACGTAACTTAGTACTGGCGATGCAGGATTCTTCCTGCAGGTGCATGCCTTCTCCCGCCAGCAGTATATTTTGGGGGCCTTAATAATGAACTATAATATTTTGGGGCTTCCTTGTTATAAATATAGCGTAAGGGCCCCAAAGCCCTATTCTAATTATTAAGGCCCCTACATTACTATCCTAGCCCAGACCTTTCAAGCAAGTCTAACCTGTCCGGGCCCAAAGGGTTCCCCCCGTCTCAGTCTTTAGGAAGCACTTAGCCTCAGGGCCTATAGGGTTAGGGTTTAGGGTTTAGGGTTTAGGGTTTAGGTTTTTGTGGTTCAAGGCCTATAGGGTTTAGGTCTTTGTGGTTTAAGGCACTTAGCATCATGGTCGCAATTGTGGTTTTCACCTGCCCCGGCACATCGTTCCACCCGTCCGACCCGTACAGAGGTCCAGAATTTGCATCCAGGCTTTTGCACTTGGGCGAGATGTCCTCAGCCCTAATCCTGCGAACAATGTCGAGCAAACATGGCCTCTGCAAAACCGACCCGACTGAATACATCATATCGGTGCATCTGCAGTCCAGGGTCTAGTTTCATTTGTAGGGGGAAGGGCTCAAGACGGGGAAAACAGCACTGAAGCTAGAAGTATCAAATGGCCAATTCCTTAGACACCTCCTAACCGCTAAGCCCTTAAAACTAAAAGCTCTAAGCATGTAGCATCCCCCAATCCCAAAACACTGGAAGCTACTCCTGAAAAGGCCCCGGCCCCCGTGCGGCGCCCACAGCCATTAGGGTTGACGGTTTAGGGATTAGGGTTTAGAGTTTAGGGCTTAGGGTTTGCAAGCCAAACTGACATACCAGATTCTGAAGCTTGTCAGTAGACATTACCTTACAAACCCCAAGCCCTAGCCAGACCCCAAAACCAGGAACCCTACTGCAAGGGTGTTGGTTCGGCCCGGGAAAGAACGGTCAGCTAGGGGGCGACGGGTTTAGGGTTTAGGGAATTAATCCAGAAGGCGGAGTAACTACCAACAGTGTTCTCCTTATTTTAGCTACCTTATCTATATCTTACCTGGAAAGCTAGTTCCAACGGTCCAGGCCCCTTTAGACCCTAAACCCTAAATCATGCTTAGCCTGAAGGAAGCCCACAAAGCCATAAAGCTCTGCGTCGGAAGCTCGTCAGATCAGGTGTAGGTTCGAGTTTGGGGTGTAATATAAGGGTGGGTGTAGTGTAGGGGTCGGATTTGTTTGGCAGTAGTAGCCCTTTGCAGTCCCTTATCATCAAAGTAGAAAATGCACCAAGCCCGTATTCTCATTTTCGAGGCATCTTTTCTTGGGAAAAGTTCTAAACCCGATGCCCTCCACCTGCAACTCTTCTGAAAGAAGTGCTTGCAAAGTGCCTTGCGTGGAGATCTCGCCCTGCATCTTCGGCATCTGCGGGCTGGGCCAAGTCTAAGCTTCTGAACTATGACGCTTTAGGAAACGTCGGGTTAAGGGTTTTGCGTAAGGAAGCATCCCAAGGACCGGGATGTGTTTGCTTCAAACCTTACCGTCCGTAGGAATCAGGCTTCAGCAAGTAAGTGACCCTAAACCCTAAACCCTAAGAGTATAGAAGCCTGAAAAATTGCAACATCATCCTGCCGGGG